AAGGTTTGACTAGGCCTCAAGCCTAGAAGGGGCCTCACATGCTGATTGAGGAGGAAAATGAGAGAAGCTGGATGGCTACTGGAGGTACCTGGTACTAGAATGGACCTAAGGGGCAAGTCTGTCTGACCTATTGAAGATCACATGACTATCCATATTTAGCTGTTCCTCTAATAACCAGTGCCGGCTTGTGCTCCTATTGATTCTGCACTGTGAAATACTGAAAGGGTCTGGTGAGTCTGAAGTTCTTTTCTAATATAGTTTTGACATGAATGTTCTAAACCCTATGTCCTATCTCCCAGTTATGGAGTTCCCCAATAAAGAATTCAAAGATGTACTTAAACTGACTGGCGCCTAACTTTTCTTTGATCGCACATCCCTTCACAGGCCTAGGATCTGCACGAAAACAAGATGTCAGCCTTCCCTGCCTTTGAGGGTCCACGCTACGCCTCTGGGGGTCAGGGGGGTGCTGTACTTATTTTTAGGGGAACTAATTGTGGCTTAAAGTACAAAAGAGAGCTTGGATGTTATCCAATTTCCTCAAAATGTATACAATAGAAGACTCTATCTATGCCAACATATTATAAAAATCTCAGGTTGTTTGGTAAAACAGAATAAAGATTATTAACATTTAAAGGAGAACTCTGGGCAAATTCTTTTTTTTTACATGTTCTTGTTGCTTATCTCTTGCCTTCCCTGAATATGTAATCCATATTCTTGTTATCTGAGTAGTTGTTCTAGTAAGACCGAACACTGCTATGCCTCCTATTCCCACAGACACTGGTCTTGGTACATCCCATCTGTAGTTCTGTTCTCCAGCAAGCAGGGATGTATTTCCATCCCTGCTTGTTGCAGTGGGCGGACCAGGATACACAGACCGCCGGTCTGTACCGTCCATGGAGGTGGTGTCCTAGGAATGACAGCCCCCCTGGGCTGCTCTGAAGGCTGCATCCAAGGGAGTCTGTAACCCATGCTGCCTGCACATTGGGGTAGCATAACAGCTGGCTCAAAATCCTCTGTTTGCTGTACCATCCAAAGACCAGCTTTCGGAAGACCAGCTTTCTGGTTCTGGTAGCCGCTGCCCAATGTCCCCCAGTGAAATCACTGGTTGCTAGGACCGCCTGGTATCTAGCAACCAGTGATGTATATGCAAAGCCACAGAATTCACAGCCAGGAGGCTCCAACTTTATTCTATTGAGCTGCTCCACATCCTACATTGTCTGCCATGCTTACCATGACTACGGAAGAGTCTGAGAGCTGTGAGTGATTAGGGGAGCCAGGAATAGAGAGACAGAGGATGGCATTCTGTGCTGGAGGAACAAGAGAGTGTAACTAGAGATGGGTGGGGGGGGGGGGGGGGGGGGGGCAGAGCAAGCAGCTGGAGAAAGCAGCTGAACATCCTACACTGGCAGACCTGCAATATCCTCCATGAAAATTCTGCCTCCACTGCTGTTCTGCACCAACAGCCCTTCTCTGCCATTACTGGCAACTGAGAGTACGGGAAAGGCTGACAGGCTTTAGTGATCACTTTGCTTCGTCTCCTTGTGCTGTGAGCTGAGCAATTGGAGCCAGTCAAGCCTTGATATGTAGTGGCATTGAGAGTCCCCCCCCTCTCTCCCTTCCCTCTCTCCCCCTCTCCCTCTCCCTTCCCTGAATAACTTTTGGCATGTTTTATGAAACAACCTGAAATTTTCACAATTTGTTGGTACATGTAGAGCAGGCTTCACTAAATGGCGGACTGCGGTCCGTACACAGACCAAGTGATAGTTCAGTCTGGACCTCAGCAGTACCACCCAGCAGCCTGAGCGGACTCCTTTCCTCCCACCACTGCAGATGTTAAGGATTACTGTCTTGCAGAGGGTGGGAGAAATGGCAAGGTGAACGGGGACCTGGACCCCCCATGCACCCGCCCACCGCAGCAGAGCGGGCGGAAGGAATGGAAGGTCTACAGGGGGAGCAGCAGTTGCCCGACCCCTCCCCCTGAATACACCTGTCACCACTGAACCCACAGCAAGGAGGACCTGAATCCCCTCCCCCCCACATTCACTCACCTGCCACCGCTGTTGAAGTCACAGCAGAGTGGGTTGGAGGAAAGTAAGGTGTACAGGAGTATGCCCAACCTCTTTCCCCCAATGCACTCATCCACCACTGAACCCACAGTAAGGAGGAGGGCAGGAGGCACGGAGCCTAGTGGCAGCAGCAGGTGTGCGCACCCAGAAGAGGAGTCTAACTTGCCACTCTCCCAGCCCTCCACAACACTGAGTTAAGCTAGGGGGAGATTATGGGGGGGGGGGGTCTGTGATGTCAGAGAGGGAGCTGTGATATGGGGGGCTGGGAAGTGAGAGGAGGGAGCTGTGAGGGGTGAGCTCTGATATGAGTGGCTGTGAGAGAGGGGAATTGTAATACTTGGGGAGCTGTGATGTGATAGGGAGAATCTGTGATATGGGGGCTGTGATATGGGGGGCTGTGATGTTATATAGGGGGCTGTGATGTGAGAATGGGGAGCCGTGATATAAGGGGCTGTGATAAGAATGGGGGGGGGGGTGCTGTAATATAAAGTTTTGTGAGAGTGGGGCAATAATGTGAGAGGGAGAAGCTGTGGTATGGGGGGCTGTGATGTGAGAAGGGGAAGCTGTGATGCGGGAGGGGGAGCTGTGATATGCCGGGCTGTGATGTAAGATGGGGGAGCTGTATTATGGGTGGGCTGTGATGTGAAGGGTTTGTGATGTGAGGAGGAGGGCTGTGATGTCAAGAGGGGGTGAGCTGTTATGTGGGGGGTTGTGATTTCAAAGGCGACTGTGATGGGGTTATGATTGCAAGGGGATGTGATGTAAGTGTGGATGAAATGTTGGGGGCTCTGATGTTAAAGGGAGTTGTGATATATAGAGGGGTGTAATTGGAAAAGGGGGACTGAGGACATTAATTGAAAAGGGTCTGTGACGTTAATGACCTGAGTCATAGAATAAAAATGAGATTCGGAACTCTGCAGAAAAAAAGGATTAAAAACTGGACCTCCATGAATTTTAATTCAGTACCCGTGATGTAGATTCTTGTATTTTGTGAAGTTTGGGGGAAATTGGTAAACATCTAAGCTCTTTTTTGGACGTTAAGCCAAATTAAGCCCCCCAAAAAACAAGCTTAATGTCCCCCATTTTCTTTGTGTGGAAGTTCAAAATCTATGAAACGTCTAGGACATGTTTGGGAAGTTGGGAACTTGGGCTGTGCAAAGTTTCAAGTCAATTGATTGAGGTTTAGGCACATTATGGTACGTCAAGCTCTTTTTACATTAAGCTCTTCACATTAAATGTTTTAGCACTGTAAAATATAGCTTAATGTGAATAACTTTTGGTGTGATTTACCAAATGACCTGAAATTTTTAGAATATCTTGCCATAGATAGGGTCTTCTAATGTGTGAAGTTTGGGAGAGATTGTTAAACATCTAAGCTCTTTTTTGTACGTTAAGCCACATTAAGCTCCCCAAAAAACAAGCTTAATGTCCCCCATTTTCTTTGTGGAAGGCTGACATCTATGAAGCTTCTAGGACATGTTTGGTAAGTTGAGAACTTGGGCTGTGCAAATTTTCAAGTCAATTGATTGAGGTTTAGGCACATTATGGTACGATAAGCTCTTTTTACATTAAGCTGTTCATATTAAATGTTTTAGCACTGTAAAATATAGCTTAATGTGAATAACTTTTGGTGTGATTTACCAAATGACCTGAAATTTTCAGAATATGTTGCCATAGATAGAGTCTTGTATTGTTTGAAGTTTGGGGGAAATTGGTCAACATCCAAGCTCTTTTTTGTATGTTAAGCCACATTAAGCTCCCCAAAAAACAAGCTTAATGTCCCCCATTTTCTTTCTGGAAGGCTGACATCTATGAAGCTTCTAGGACATGTTTGGTAAGTTGAGAACTTGGGCTGTGCAAATTTTCAAGTCAATAGATTGATGTTTAGGCACATTATGGTACGTTAAGCTCTTTTTACATTAAGCTGTTTGCATTAAATGTTTTAGCACTGTAATATATAGCTTAATGTGAATAACTTTTGGTGTGATTTACCAAATGATCTGAAATTTTCAGAATATGTTGCCATAGATAGAGTCTTCTAATGTGTGAAGTTTGGGGGAGATTGGTAAACATCTAAGCTGTTTTTTGTACATTAAGCTACATTAAGCTCCCCAAAAAACAAGCTTAATGTCCCCCATTTTCTTTTTGGAAGGCTGAAATCTATGAAACTTCTAGGACATGTTTGGGACGTTGAGAACTTGGGCTGTGCAAAGTTTCAAGTCAATTGATTAAGATTTAGACAGTTTATTACACGTTAAGCTACATTAAGCCATTTTCACATTAAATGTTTTAGTCTGTCCCTAGTAACAGTCTCTCTCTAGGCTAAATTCATTGAATCCCTTTAATTCTTCCTGTGACTCTTCACTGTTGTACCACTTTAAGAGATTAGTATATTTAAAGAATACGTTCATCTTTTTACAGGTAAAAAATGTGCATTTATTATTTTTATTATTGGGAGCCTGTAAAACATTCCACCCCATGATCAGCAGACTCTGCTCTTGCAGACTCTGCATGTAAGCTGTCTGCTCGTACTTCGTAGTTACACACTGACAGGAAGTCTGAATGAACTACTACAGCGCCATGGTAGTTCATTGAGAACTTCAACCTGACAGCTGCAAGGGCTGTTGGTACTTGTAGTTTCCCATTGACAGAATACTGTGAATGAGTGACGTGACCAGGTGGGTGGAGCCCCACACTGCCACATCTTTTATGAATTGTGGCAGCAGACACGGGGAGAAGATCCCCGGTCTGTTGTCACAGCAGGGACTCGGGGGGTGCGGGGGCAGATTCAGCAGTAAACAAGTCACATATTACACCATGAATATGGATGTAACATGTTAGGAGAGGTGAACTGAACCTTAAAGTGGAGTTCCAGCCCTTTTTGTGTTTATTAAAAGTTAGCAGCTAAAAAAACACACACCCCTTCCTGCCCAGTGCCATTAGTACAGTGTCAGTGCTTTTTATTAGCACTGATCACTGTATTGGTGTCACTGGGGATGTCAGTGATACCAAATCAGTTCCACCCAGTGTCAGAATGTCCTCCGCAGTCCCGCTATAAGGTGCTGATTTCCGCCATTGCTAGTAAAAAAAAGAATTCCAGTATATATACCGCCATTTGCAAACACTATAACTTTCACGTAAACCAATTAATTTATTGGTATTTTTTTTAGCAAAGACATATAGCAGAATACATTTTGGCCTAAATTTATGATGAAATTTGATTTTTTAAAATTTTTTTATTGGACATGCTTAATAGATTTTGTTTGTTTATAGCGCAAAAAAATAAAAAACGCACAGGTGATTAAATACCACTGAAAGAAAGCTCTATTTGTGGGAAAAAGGGGAAAAAATGTAATTTGGGAGCAGCATTGCATGACCGCGCAATTGTCAGTTAAAGAAACGCAGCGCCGTATCGCAAAAAAATGGCCTGGTCAGGAGAAGGGGGGGGGGGGGGGGGGGGGGCTAAATAAATCCTCAATCACTCCATAATCAACAAAATAATACAAGAATTACACAGCTTGAGAGATGTACTTCCGGACAGATGCTTCCTGATCAAGATGATTACCTTTCCCGGAATTCTTTACAGGCTATTTCATGTGGCTGTGGTTTCACTGCCCCCAACCGCGCCCACCCCCCCAAATCCTAACAATACATCCTGACAGGGCTGTACACATGAGGTGGCCACTGCAATTTTAACCTGGACTGCAGAGTTTGACAAATAGCACTGCCTGTGAAACTGAGCCATTCAGTTCAACATAGCAATTCTGCAACTGCGAGCCATATGCAAATTGGTGTTCGGCAATTAAAAAACAAACAAACACCTCCATCCCCCTCCCCCCCCCGAAAAAAAAAAAACACCATCGTGAATGCCTGTGAGTCACTACTATACTGCCCTCTGAAATGTTATCCACTGTGGATTACTTTTCAGAGGGCAGTAAGCATTACCACAAATGTGAAAGAGACCAACCACTATCCTATCCTTTCTGCCACTAGGACCTATTCAGTTTTGATTCCATGGAATCATCTCAACTGAGGTCAGGCCTGTACTGGCCATAGGGCACACCGGGCATAGGAGGGGCGGCGGGGCGGCACTTACAGGAACCAGACTGTGCATTTCTCGGTTCCTCTATGTGCCACCCGGCTGCCCCTACTATCCATCTCCCGCATGCCTTGGGCTGCTGTCTGCTCCCTCCCCCACTGCCCCCCTCATCTCCTGCAGCACAGCTGCTGGGTTCCCCCCTCCCTGCAGCTGCTGCAGAGCATTTGTCAGCATATTCTGTCCCCAGTGCTGACAGTTCCTTGCCCAAGCAAATCCAATCAGATAAAACGAGCGCTGGATAAACATATAAAAAGGAGCAGCTAGCACGAAAAGGTAAAAACCTCAAACCCTCTAATTAATAATAAAATAAAACTCATGAAGCGCTAAAAGTATGATAAAACACATAAAATCGTAAATTATATGATACCAATATAACAAAATTAAAAAATATGAAAGTGACCAAGTTCAATGACCTTAACTATTATAGTGACATAAATAGATGACAAGATATAATATCCGCAAAAGTTTAAGATGCCAGAAATCAATACACGCACTATGGCGTATGGTGAAGTAAGAATGTGATAAAAACGTCCCCAATTGGCGTTTCCAGGTGCATATGTGATTAGTCTCTGATTAGTGTAGATCCGTGATGGTGAAAGATAAAATAAATGGCCGTAGATTGCACTCACCAGAGAGCACAAATGAATGCGCATTTGAGTATTAAGGACCATCTCCTGGCCATCAGCATCAGGTTACTTAAAACATCAGGTCATCTGGTGGGCATCAGGGGGGCAGACAGCACACCATCTGGTAGTATTCGGCACCGAGGATGGATTAGCCACCAGGGGAATCACACTAGTAACTTCAGTCAGGTCACAATGGGTATCCTTGTGGAAAAGTCTCACCAGAAGTGAGCCAAAACAAAAAGACTTCCCATAGTGTAGTAACTTCTAATTTATTCAAGGTTAAAATTGAAACGGTTCCTTGCCCACCACAGACAGGAGAGGAGAGAGAAAGCTGGTTTTGCCCCTCCTCCTCCCACTTTGGACCAACCTGAAGCCTGTATCTTTTTCTCCATCATCTATAATGCATTTACAGTCAGAGCTGTATCCTCAACAAAGTAACCTAGTCAGGAGCCCAGGGACCATTGGATGTTCAGGGGGCCCAGTGTAAACATTTATGCTCCTGCAGTAAACCAGGGGGATAGCACAACTGATCAAAATAATGATGTGGCTTCTCAAACCTTCTCACATTCAACAGAAGAGATAGGGGATCAACAATTTCTTGCCTAGGGCCTGATTCTGCCTTAATCTATCTCTGGCATTTAATTGTAATGCTCACTTTATCTGTATCCTGGCTTTGTCCAGACCTTACCTGTGTGGCCTGCCCAGTACCACACAGTCTGCACAATCCTTCTAGTTGGCCAGTGTGAATGATTGGGCAGTGTATGGACTTTCTGTTGGAATGACTGAAGTCTGGAGCCAGCACAGTCTGCTCAGAGACTATAACTTGATGGACTTTAAGGAGGAAGAGGATGTCTGAGGGTCTCCCCTTCCCCCTACTTTGTCCTTTCAATAAAGCTTCGAGCTTGTGAACTCTGTCTCCCCTCCCTCTGCCTTCTTTCTTACCCCCCAACATACCCGATGCTTGTTTGAATTTTTTTTTTTCCGTAATGTTTTTCATGCTATGGTTTTGTTGTGGTGCCATGTGAGATGTTTAACCCAGGCACTGCACATCTGACTTCACGCGGCCAGGTTACTCTGGTGGAACCACTGACACCAACAAAGGGGCACTCTTCCTCTCAATGACACCAATGATGAGGCAAAATTCCTCCCAATGACACTAATAAAGAGGCACAATTTCTCCCAACGACATACGATGGGGCCCAATGACCCCAAGGATAGGGCACAATTCCTCCCAATGACACAAACCATGGGGCACCATTCCTTCCATTGACACCAACAATCGGGCACAATTCTTCCCACTGACACCAAAGATGGAGCATTGTTTTTTCCCACAGGCATTGAGACCTTTCCTACTCCCAAATGCCACCGTCCGGTCCCTCTAAAGTCTGAAGAACCGTAAACTGGTCTTTTGTTTGGAGACCCCCTGCCCTAGAAAACCAAAGAAGATTATAGGAATGTGATCACCAAGCAGTAGCAAACACCATACTAAAGAATATATCTATCTATATTTATATTTCATATAAAGCTGAAATCCAGGCATAGAGTATATAAAAGACAATTTAAATTGGTTCTAAAGTCTAAGCATTTTTACCTTTAATGCATTCTATGCATTAACCACTTGCCCTCCTGAAGATTTACCCCTCTTCCTGACCAGGTAATTTTTGCGATACGACGCTGCATTGCTTTAACTGACAATTGTGCGGTCATGCAACGCTGTATATAAAATTAAATTTATGTCATTTTTTCCCACAAATAGAACTTTCTTTTGGTGGTATTTGATCACATGTGCATTTTTTGGCATTTTTTTTAGCTGGTATATATACAGGAATTTTTTTTTTCATACTAGTAATGGCAGCAATCAGCGACTTACACCGGGACTGCAGAACTGTGGCGGGCATTCTGACACTGGGGAGGAACTAACTGCCACTGACATCCCAATGACACTAATACAGTGATCAGTGCTAATAAAAAGCACTGACACTGTACTAATGACAATGGGCATGAAGGAGTTAACATCTGGGGGCGATCAAAGGGTTAACTGTATGCTGTTTTACTGTATGTGCTGTGTGTGTTTTACTAGGGAAACATGCTGCTGTGTATTTCTCTGCTGTGCATAGAAATACATAGCAGCATGTTACTGCTCTGCTGTGCATAGAAATACATAGCAGCATGTTACTGCTGGCAGGAGTGAGACCTGTGTTGTTTATATAGGTCTCTCCCCTGTCAGTGATACTCGGTGATCGCCGGATGCCAGCGGGGAATCTCTGGCCAGGACCCATTGATCGATATCTGTAGCCGTGGTCTCAATGCCAGTGGGAAAAAACAATGCTTCTTCTTTGTTGTCAGTGGGAAGAATTGTGCCCTATTGTTGGTGTCAGTGGAAGGAATTATGCCCCATCGTTTGTGTCATTGGGAGGAATTGTGCCCTATCCTTGGGGTCATTGGGCCCCATCGTTGTATGTCATTGAGAGAAATTGTGCCTCATCGTTAGTGTCATTGGGAGGAATTTTGCCTCATCATTGGTGTCATTGAGAGGAATAGTGCCCCTTTGTTGGTGGCAGTGGAAAAAAATAGTAGTACCTCAAGGGCTGGAAAATCAAGTAAAGGGCCACAATGGGCCCTAGGGCCGCAGCTTGGAAACCACTGCTCTAGGGTTAGGGTTTTTGCTTTGCAGGTTTCTGGTAAACTTCAAAAGGAAGCTGGAGATTAGACCACTAACTGTTGAATTAGATGTGATCCTCTACTGGGCGCTTGGTTAACTTTCACCACCTCTTTACCCCTGAAGCAAAAAATATTCAGCTTGGCAAACTGCTAGGACTTTGCCACCATACCAACCAGCTGTTGTTAGGGATTCTAAAACAGAGGTAAATTTTCAAGCATTAATAATTTTGCTTAGTTTATATCTGGTAATATCAGTTGGCAATAATTAAAGTATAACTAAAGGCAAAACGCTTTTTTTTTAGTTTTGTATAGAGTGGAGGGAGGTTAGAATGCTTTTCAGGTTTTTATTGCTGTCTGTGCCCCGGTTAAGGAGATTCACCCTCTCTATTATCCTGTTTACCATAACATTGAAAGTGAAAGTAAATGAAAAGTAATAGAGGGGACATCTTCTCTTCCAATGGTTCTAGTTCTGGTGACCTGGGGGTCCCCAAGGAATTCCCCTAATTTGCAGGGATTTCCTCTCACTTCCTGTTTGGCTATGGGACAGGAAGTGAAGGGAAAATCTCTGCATTGGGACACAGATTTTCAAAAAAAATCCGACAGGGATTATAACCCTCCCTTGCTCTATCTAAAATGAAAAAAAAAGTTTTGCCTATAGTTCTACTTGAAC